TTATCAATGTTGAAAACAGTTGTGCTGTTTAATATTTTTGTGGAACACATTTTAAATGAGAAATTTCACAAGAACTGCATGCAATTAAAACAGATCTTCTGTACCATTTTAAAAATCACTTTTGATCAGTTTAATGCATCTTGCTTGTCTTACTGACCCCAAACTTTTAATCAGTAGTCTATTCTGAAGTGATTTTAGAGTTACAAACCACCATATTGTCTCTTGAGCTCACCTTTTGTTCCTGGAGGACACAGTTCAGACAGGCGGTCTTGCCTGTGCCAGGAGCACCAGAGATATAGAGGCTGGAGGGTTTTTCCGCCACCACATGGTTGTCCAAGAAGGAGACAATGGCAGCTCTCTCTGCCTCACGAGAGAGAAGACGTTCGGGTACTGCAGTGTGAAGAGCCTGCTTTACACTCTGATAACCCGATTCTGCAGGAAAAAGCCCACAACAGAGATACAGATTACTTATCAAATATCAGAAATTGGGCAATATGTGACAAGAATCAACACCGATATTAATATATTTAAGCAAATTAGCTAACAAACACTTAAAACATACTTTTTACAGGAAAGAGTCGAGTAACAGGGAGCTTTCCCTCTGCTCGGGGGATCGGGTTTGTGCAGGGGGTCTCTTGCAGCCGTTTTGGAGATGGACGCGAAATAGGAGACAGGGGAATTTTCGGTGACGACGGTGTGGGACGTGGAGGTGAGGAGAAGGCCGGTGTGTTCTCATTAAAGGACAGTTTGCGAGGGGAGCACAGAGGAGCACAGCGCTGCTTAGGAGGAGAGCCAAGCATAGAGGCCGGGAGGTTACAGCCGTTCTCGTCACCTGAAAACCAAACACAGGGAAAACCCAAGAGCTTCATAAATAAAAGATTCAAGCCTTACTGTAAGAACAACAATCATAAAGATTATTTAAAGGTGATGATTTACACACCTGTACGTTTGCGGGGGCTCAAGGGCAGCCTCTCAGACAAAGAGGTGTTTTTCAGCACGGAGTTCTTGGGAGACAGACTGACATCAAGCGAATCTCCCACATTTGACTTTCTAGGGGACAGAGGGTTGGCCTGGACGTCCACTGCATTCTCAGAGGAGTTTTTAGGTCGAGAACCCAATCTGGAAGACTTCCTTCGGGGGAACTGAAGGGTGGGCTGATTCTGTGAGCGAGTGCTGGGCATTTTAAGTTTTACACCAGGAAGCAGATCTGAAAGATAAAGCACAGTGACTTAGTTTACAGTAAATCAAACATCAATAACCTCTGATGCACAATAGCTCGAGGAGGAAACCGAGATAACCCATCAAGAATTTAGCAAGTAAGTGTAGTATTTCCTGAAGACTCTAGAGGTGCGAGTCATTAACAAAGCCATTCTAACCCAAAACCCGTTGGGGGTTGGTTGTAACGTTAGTTGCACCAAGTCAGACGACAAAAACTTAACCCATTTTGTGCAGAATCACAAAGATCACAAGCAATGCATTTCTTTCCATTTGGTGGTTTGAACCTACAGGCACTTTGTGGTTAAGTTACTTATGTTGTTAATGCTTCCTGTCGGATCTACTTCACTACCACGATACAAAAATATGTACATTAACAAATAAATGTCTTTATTTGTTGCAGACACATTTGTACATGTTCAACGAATACTGTAAATTATAAGTGAGCAGTTCCTGCTGTGGGTCATTTGGCGCCAAGCTGTTTGTTCACGCGCATAACAACTCTGAATAAAAGTAATCTTATTTTAAAACTACTACACCACAATCTTTTAAAAACTATAGCATGAATATATGTAATGTCTTACCTGAATTTGTGTTGACAACCGCTACGACTATCACAAGTTGTAGGTCTCTCAGAATAAGCTCCTCAGCACACTCACTTGCCCGCCGTCAAACTAAACTAGCGCCAAACGTGCTGCTGCGACCTCCTTCTCTGAACAGCTGACGCGCTGGCGTGTGACGTGATCTCACGACTACGCATTTCATTGGCTGTCGGAGTTTTAAGGAACCAATAGGATTCGGAGTCCCTTCCCCCATTGACTTGACTGTAAAGGCGGGCATTTCTTTGTAGGTATTTTGGCGGAAAGAATTTCCCGGGAATTATTAAGAAAGTTTTCACCAGTTAACTGCAGTTTTGATGTATTCTACCATCAATATCCACTCTTGACAAATGTATTTTAATCTTCCAGGTGTAGACCAGATTTTCACAGTGACTGGCTCATTTCTGTCTCATAAACGCACGCACTCAAAAGACAAATGTTGCAATATTCTTTGGTACATTGAGTTCCTGCTCTATGACTATGACATATTAGCTCTTATTTATTGAAAGTTTTTGGTCTTTTATGGCCATTTTGTATGGTTTTTTCGTATTTACTCATCTAAAAACGGCCTTGAATATTAGGCATATTTCTTATTTATTTATTTAACATAACACTCA